CAGCTTCGGTCCTCTCCGCAGAAATGGTCCGCTTCCCAGAATTTGCCGGTGACACTCTGAAAAATGTTGTAGATACACCTTAATTTTCAATCTCATACTCTAGTTATTTTTGAAAACTTTTTGCAGGTATATTACAAAATGTATGTACAACTTTTATTAATGTGCAACGAGTGCTTTTAAGTGACCGCTGCTTGTATTGCTTTAACGGAGACAATTAGTAGCGCATTTTGTTTAAATCAAAGGGTAATTTTTATGCTATTGTTTTCAAAATAAAATACGTAATGTGATGTCGTACTTGGGTAGCAACGTAGAGATGATCCGCTGCGCCTCCTCCGGCGGCGGCGGGGATTGCGGCGAATGCGGGGAGCGCGGGGACGGCGGGTCGGGGGGCGAGGGTTCCTCGCGCTCCTCCGTCGGCCGGAACCCTAACGCGAATTTCGCTCTGTGATTGAATATAATGCCAATCATTACTTTCATTATTGAATTTTTTATCAGCGTATGTAAGTGACAACTGCAAAACGACGATATTTAGAGTTTACTATTATATGTTAGTGTTTTTAATTTGTATTTTTGTTTTGTATGGACCATGTGTCTGAATGAAAGATTTATTATTATTATTGCAAACATTATTCAATGCTGGCGTGTCGTCGTTCAGGTTTGTATCTCGTGATATATTTACGAGTGGCATCCCGTGATACCGACAACTGTCATTTCTAAATAATTTACTTATGTACAGATGTTTTGTTATAATGTTTGTTTTAAAAGACGCAAAGAGTCTCTTTTATAACTTAATTGCTTCGCTTCTCCAACTCTACAATAGGACAGTTTTAAAATTAACTAAAAGTTTAGTTGAGTGCCTTAAAAGGTGTTGTAATGAAAAAAATCATGCTAACAGACTTTGTTTTTGTAAGATAGTTGGGTTAGAATCCTGTTTATTTCCTATATTTTATTTAACAAAAAGCATAGAAAATTTTAAAAGGTTTCTCACCGTCTTCCGTTCATGCTCATGTATCCATCGTCCTCCGATGTGTGTCCCGCGAGCGGCGAGTCGTCGTCCGTAGCGGGCGTGGCAGGAGTAGCAGGCGTGGCGGGCGTCGCGGGCGTAGCCGGCGCGGCAGCCGTG